TACAGTATAAAATACAATTATTAAATATAATAAAATCCAAGCGATGGTGGTATTATTTCAGGCTGTGACCAGATAATATTAGTCAAAGGTAAGATTAGGGAACCAGCCATCCCCAAAACTGACTATTCCCATAAAGTTTCCATAAAGGATTATCATATTTCATTGTAATTATCTATACATAATCTGTATCTGTAAGCAATTCATTCTAAGTTACATCAGGTCTTCAGTCTGCTACATAACTGGGGTCATATCTTTCAACGTTAGTTGAAGCACAATTCAAATTCTTGCAATTACTTTGAAAACTTATTCCTGTAAAAACTTTAGTAATTTAGACTCTTAAGGATTTTTATAATGAAAAAATGTATTTCACATAACTATTTTTAAGTTGCTCTGTTTCTTCCTATGTCAGGTGGTTTTATGCTGAAATTTGCTGATCTGATTTTTTTTAATCCTGCAATGCAAATACATTTGCAAGGATGAGATATAGAAAGAACAAGTATCTCCATGCTTTTTATTACTGCTATCTTCAGGCCCTTCTGAGATATTGAAAAATTAAATGTAAAATTAATTACTCCAAGACACAAAAAAGAAAGTATTCTTTTCATAAGTAGATTAGATTTCTGAATAATATTTCATAATAATAGGTTGCATTTCTATATCAATCCTGAAAGTCAGATCACTCTGAGCAAGTGTGAATAGGCAAGTACCTGAATCACGATCTCTTCTCCTGCTAAGGAAGAGGCTGTGCGTAAAACTCCATACCAACACATGGGATCCTCAAATGATCCCCTGCTGTAATGAAGCTCCCCTACCTGATCTGGAGGCAGAGCTGCTGTTTTTGCTCCACAACAAAGAGAAGACATTTCAGTGATTTCCATCACCGCCTTTCTGTTCCCTGTGAGCAAGAAAAGGATGGGGAAAAGAGAAAATTGTAAGACTTTGTAAATAAGCTCTAGGAAGGCACCATAGGCAAATGGCATCCTTGCACACAGGGTCAGGATTTAGTGTAAAAGAAGCTCATGAATGAAAGGTCCACTAATTTCAGAAGAAACCTTCACTCACAGGATGAGATGATTTGAGTTGGATCCTCCTGGGAGATCATCCCAAAGCACAGCTCCTGAAAGGGATTTGACAGATCTCTTCCTTTAGGATGCTCTGAGACCGCTTCCATCAATGGCTCCTGCACCACCTGAAATACCAGCCAGGAGCAAAGAACAGAAGTTAAAACAAATTAACATGAGAAAGAGGGGATTCTTCTCTGCCTCCAGTTCTGGAGTATTTCATATCTATCCCATAGCCTTGGATTCCTCTTCCTCCTGTGGAATTATCTGGACGGGGAAACAAAACTATTTGGCTCAAGAGGAAATAAAAACTCCTCCTAATACTGTAAAATGCAAAAAATACTGGGGAGGCATTTAAGAAATCAGGACAGGAAGGCCTGGCGCAATATGGTTCATGGGGTCACGAAGAGTCGGACACGACTTAACGACTAAACAACAACAATTTAAGACATCAGTAATATTTCTCATCATGTTATTACCTTATAAAGTTACCCGAACAAAATTCTCTCACCTGCTTCTTTCCCAGCTCTTCACTCACTGCTTGGCTCAGGAGGAAGCCCTCAGCCAGGGCCACCGCCTGGGAACAGGTCTCTGCTCCGCATTCCCTGACCCAGCTCTCCATCTCCGCAGGCAGGAGGGACAGGAACTGTTCCAGGACCAGCAGGTCCAGCATCTCAGCTTTCGTGCTCCTTTCTGGCTGCAGCCACTGATGGCACAGCTGGTGGAGTTGGCTGCAAACCTCCCGGGGCCCCTTGGTCTCCTGGTAGCAGAATCTCCGGAAGTACCAGCACTGAACACCTGGACAGATGGCTCCTTCAGGGAAGATCTTCTGCCCGGTTCTTCCCCAGAAGTCCCCTCTGTTCTCAGTGTGCCTGGGATCGGAGCCTTTTGCTACCTCTGCTCCTACTGACCTTTGCATGTTCGTTTTCTCAGTTTGAAACAGAGCAAAAATTCTCCTGTCTCTACAAAGCTACTTGCGTGCCTTGGGTCTGAATATCATTAAAGGATTCTGGATAAATCTCACAAGGCCATTGAGCCATCTTCAGTTACAATTTCTAGACAAGCAGATAATTCACAAACACAGTAAGCCTTGAGCTCTCAATCTTGGTGACAAGGTGGAAAAAAATCAGAATAACTGAGGCTGACACTTGTGCAGAAACCTTTGCCCACTGATGAATTCAGTAAAAATCCTTCCACAGTGTCAGGCAGGAGGGTCTGCAACCAGCAGCCTTTTCAGATAGGATGCAGCCCCCTTTCCTCCTCTCTCTCTCTCTCTCTCTCTCTCTAGATATATAGATATAGATACAGATATTGATATAGATGTTTGTCTTATCAGAGGGGAGTCATGGAGTTGCAGGTTCTCTCTTTTTCTCTATTGGGGGTGGGGGCAGGGGCAGGCAAAAGCTCCTCTTTCTCCGGCCAGTGAGTCCAGATCGTCCCAGCTGGCAATGCTCTCTCCTGCTCTATGGGACGATGCCCTACTAGCGACTCAGCCCCCAGACCCGGCCTTCCCCACATCCCAGAGAAGCGCTCCCTCGAACGGGACACGGGAGGCTGCAACCTGCCACAACTTCCCTCTTGGCCTCCAAGAGGCTCGTGAGAAGGGTGAAAGTGAGAGAGCGCTTCGTCCTAGAGGGGCAAGACGCTCTAGGCGACCCTCACTTCCTGCCCTCGACTGAAAGAATCTCCCATCGCATCTTCTCTCCAGGGCAGCAACTGCTGGCAAAGCGCTTCGGCGCATGCTCCGTTCCATTCCGAAGCTAGAAAGCTGCCAGAACCCCGATGGTTGCGGACTCGGCTGACATCCTGGGGGATCCTGGCGAGGATGGGGGCGGAGGATTATGGAGCGGGGGGTGGAGGATATTTGGTGGGCGGGAGTGATGGGAATGGAGGAGTCTGTTTCGAAGGCTGGAAGAAGCAGCGCCTCCTCTTCCAAGGCGGCAAAGCAGCCGCGCTTTGGGGAAGCTCCAGGCTCCGTTTCCGTGCCCGCCTGCAAATGGGAAGGATCTTTTTCAGGGCTAGTTTCACGGCACGAAGGTCGCCCAGTTTTTCCCCGAGCCGCCGTCTCCGTCCTGCTGGCGCCCCTGCCCTCCAAAGGTTGCGGTTGCCATCCCTGTAGAACAGTGTGGGGGATTCTGGGAGTTGAGGTCCACGTCTTAAAGTTGCCAAGTTTGAGAACCACGGATGCGGAACCGCGCCAGCTGTGCAGCCGGCCAACCTCGCCCGCCGCCGGCCGTGCCCCGCGCTGCCAGCGCACGCCT